ATATATACACACACAGCAAATAATTTAAGTATTTTTATAGATTGATTATATAATTTGCTTAATATTTTATACTTAAATATTCTCGTTTTAATGTTTTTATATGTGTATATATGTATGTATGCAGTGTGTATACATGTCATTTTTTGGAAGAAATTATACATGTATTAAAAACATTGTTTAAATGTGCTTTTTTTTTTTTACATGCTTTAACTACTGTGGCTTAGTGGTTAGCAAAAAAAATGTAATAAAAATGTCCCCTTGACAAACTTTTTAATATACCCCAGCTTCAGAGGTCACAACACATCCCATATGCTCTGATACAAAGTGTTCTGCGATCTTAAAATGATCTTGTGAAAATCCGTTAGAGCAGTAACAGCCACCTTGCCAGTAACTAACACCGTTTTGATGCGATCTGTTTGAATACAGAGAGGTGCCTGGAAGATCATGAACTGGTTGTTCCTGTGCAGGCCTGCATGTCTCCGGAGAGCAAGTTTCTCTTCAGGAAGAACTACGCCAAGTACGAGTTCTTCAGAAACCCACTGGTGAGTTGTCACAGAGAACAACCGTTTTACTTCAGCCCACCCATGTGTTTCCTTGCCTCTCAAGACCACCACTTCAAGCTTAAATCCTTTGAAATTAAAGTCCGATTATCCTCGAAAATCTTGCCAAGAACACTTGATTCATGACCTGTGAGCTATAAATCCCTTAAATATGTAAATATCTCCAAAAAACGTCATGTTCCCACATTTCTGTTTTCCATATGCGAGAAAAACCTCCTTGTTAATCCATTTCCAGCCATTTAAGCACAGCTTGCACGTGTTCCACCTCACTAAGCAAGTAACCTGCTTTTTTCTTATAAGCCAGTACTCAACACCTTTTAACTGATGGCATTTTGACAAGTACATTTGAATGTGTCGTATAAGCGTATTACGGTGTGAACACTGTGAAACATTTTATCCTGCTTTGTAAGCCATGGACTTTTTGTATGCTTGGAAAAAATGTTGATGCAAAAGCTTAATCTTATTTGAGCCTCTGCTTTAGTACGGTATGTACAGTGTGTGCCAGCACTTGAGGCATCTTTGGGCCAGTTAGTCCGAGTCTGTTTTGACAGAGCACTTAACCTGCTCTTGGTAATCCGTGGCTTTGGCAAATGCTTAGTGCAACTCACCTAAATTAGCTTTAGATGAGTTTCAGCTCGTGTGTTTGCTTGAATTCATGCATGTTTCTTACCATGATCCTGTAACTCAACTGGTAAAGAGTCACGCCTCGATTTACTGGTTGTTCAAAAATTGAGTTGTTGATTAGTGTGATCAGCTAATCTATTTATTACTCCTCTAAATGAATAATTATAATTAATTTTGGGTGTGTGTGTATATATATATATATACACACACACACACACACACACACACACACACACACACACACAGTGGTAGGTAGTACTGATCACATGTAATCTGGATACATAATCAGATTCCGAAAATTAAGTACTTGTAATTAAATATTACATTTTAAAATGCTCAATCACATTAGTTACTTTTTTATAGATTGCATGATTACATATTATTCACACAATGGCAGTAAATTATTCATAATTTGGTTTGCTGGTATGCTCTATTTCTTATTTTTTCCTTTTTAAAATTCTACCACTTTTATGTAATTGGAAAGTCTTCCTTTGCATCAACCCACAACCCATTCATGAGCCCCAGCTTGGGAAACCCTGGCATAATGCAATATTTAGTACACTTCATGATGTTGAATGTAATAAATATTAAAAGTAATAAACATTTACAGAAAGAGAATTCAGTTAAAACTTTAACAAAAAGGTGCCAATTTGAACCTTTGTAACAAATTCAGAGCTTGTTCCATTCTTTCCCCTCAGTTTAGTAACAATCATCTTATGTAATTGTCTACTAAGAAAGGCATCTGCTCTTGGTGAGGTGATCCTAAAACAGATTAATTATATATGGCTTCCTTAGTAATCATTCAGACTAATCAATGAAGAAAAAAAAAACATTTTCTCAACCCTACTTCATACACACACTAGTTGTTCCATTAAGTTTCTTGTGAACTACTGGTATATGTTCAGTGCAGACGGTCTTTTCTTACTTCTCACCCTTTATCTTTCTCTCACAGAACTTCTTTCCGGAGCAGATGGTAGCATGGTGTCAGGAAACGAATGGCTCTATCCCACAGTCACAGCTCTTACAGGTGAGGAAAACATGCAAATTGATCTGTGACATGGCAAAATCTGGATTAGCCCACATTATGAACCTGTACATCACACTTGCATGACTGTTGCAGCTGAATTAGGATTTTAGTGGATTCAAACAGCTTTTGAAATGCATCCTCATGTCTTGTGATAGCAAAGAGGCCGCGTTATTGAAGCATGAAAGGCATCCAGGTTTGAAGAGCTCATTTTCCAGATGGTCCTCTGCTTTTTTCCCCCCTCCTGCACAGAATTTCTTGAATTCCAGCAGCTGTCCAGAGATCCAGGGCTTCATTTATATGAAAGAGACGGGCCGCAAGTCCTGGAAGAAGCTCTACATGTTCTTGCGCCGTTCTGGGCTGTACTACACTACTAAAGGAATGTCTAAGGCAAGCTTCTCTTTAATATTAGAATATGAATTCAAGTCTTTGAATTTCACATCTCTGAAAAAGTGTCTGTTATTCCTAAACTTTCTTGCAAATAAATACAGTGCGGTCCAAAAGTCCATGTTGAAAGACTGGGATTCATAATGTAACTGGAAATAAATTTTTTGTGATTTAATTTTGACTTAAAGATTTCTAGGTCATCAACATATTCATGTCAAATAAATATTTAATGAATTGTTATATAATTGTTATTGTAATGTTATAAGGACATTAGTTGTAATTTTATCATTATTAATACATTATTATTATTATTATTAATAGATATAAATAAACAAATAAGCATATTTATGTTAATTTTTCCATTTAACTTTTAGTTTTCTTTAGAATTTCAAATAAATATTGAATGAATTGTTATATAATTGTTATTGTAATGTTATAAGGACATTAGTTGTAATTTTATCATTATTAATAAATTATTAATATTATTATTAAAAATAGATAAACAAATAAGCATATTTGTTAATTTTTCCATTGAACTTTTTATTTTCTTTAGAATTTCAAATAAATATTGAATGAATTGTTATATAATTGTTATTGTAATGTTATAAGGACATTAGTTGTAATTTTATCATTATTAATTATTAATATTATTATTAAAAATAGATATAAATAAACAAATAAGCATATTAATGTAAATTTTTCCATTGAACTTGTAATTTTCTCAATTTGTTTTGCAAATAATACAAATTGTAATAAAAAATGCATCAAATTAGTTTAGAATAATAGCAAATAGAATTTTCACTACAAATGAAATGCTAAATAGACTTTTTACTAGTGGTCTCAGACTTTTGGACCATGTTGTATTTTATTTTAATAAAGAATTTCAGGATAACTGTTTCACTGTTCATAAGAGTCATTATGTAGGTCTGTCTTTGGGAGCTGTATTGTGATGAATTTTTAATTGGGTTGTTTAGGAGCCAAGGCACCTGCAGTTACTGTCGGACTTAGAGGAGAGCAATGTTTTCACTGTGACGACAGGCAGAAAGATGCACAACGCGCCCACAGACTACCAATTCTGCATTAAGGTGAGCAGGATGACGGTCAGTAAATGAACAAAATCATTGACATTGAGAATGGAGGAGGCATGGCTGGCACAATTTCCAAATCAATGATTTTCCCCCTTTAAATAACTACCCATGCCTCACCTGGTACAGTGCATGCTAGTCGTTATTAACTTGAGCGCCTTGATTTGACAGTAGATATATTGCTTGATTGACAGCCCAGTAAGGGCAGGACAGAACAGAAGGAGTTGAAGATGCTGTGTGCCGAGGACGAGCAGAGCCGTACGTGCTGGATGACTGCTTTCAGACTGCTCAAGGTATACAGTAAAAACAGAAAAAATAATGACATATTATTACAATTTAAATAACTTGTTTCTGTTTTAATATATTTTAAAATCCAATTTATTCCTATGATAGTAAAGCTGAATTTTCAGCAGCCAATAATCAAGTCTTCAGTATCTGCTTAATATTTTATGGAAATCATGGTACAGTTTTTTCAGCATTCTCTGATGAACAAAAAAGTTAGTTCATTTATTTGAAATAGATTGTTTTGTAATATTATAAATGTCTTTACTGTCAGTTTTGGACAATTTAATGCATCCTGGCTCATATTACTGACTCAAACCTTTGAACGGCAGTGTACTAGACAACTATAAGTGAGCCTTTTGTTGGATTATTTCTTGACAAGCTTATTTCAGCACGCACCAGATTAAATGTTTTATTTTGTTTAATTTTTTTGTTGTTTGCTAGTAAACTTATTATACAAGTATATAAAATGATTATTATTTAGCTACTACAGATTTGTGGTGAACAAGCTGTCCCTCAGATATCTTCCGCACACACTCTTGTCCATTCTTATTAACTCAGACAAACACACTCTTTTCTTTCTAGTTTGGAATTCTCCTATATCAGAACTACAAGAGCCCACACCAGAGAAAGACTGCCATATCAAACTTCACCACACCTGTGGTAAGAAACACATTAACATGTTCCTCAGTGCTGACTCTCTAGTGCACTTGATGGGTTAAATGTGCTGTTTTCACGCTTCTGTGAGTTCACCTGGTATTACATGCACCCCGTGTTGCTGAGAGTTCACCTAATCTGCTCCTAACAGTATGAACAGCGTTCTAATGAAGCGTGTGGCTATAGATTCCTTTACGCCGATTTGCATTGGGAACTTTCATGCAGGGGAAATGTATGAACACAGGAGTTGCTGTAGGGATTAATTTAGAAGGTATTTAATAAGGCTTTAGTGGTTTAATTAGAGAGGATTAATGCTGATCATAGCAGGTTGTCTGTTATGTCTTTAGTTATTTCTACATGTAAATGAACGCTTGTTTTGTAATAAACGGCTGAGCTAAATAAGTGTAATATTATTTTTATAGCGGAGTGTGTCCGAGAATTCGCTGGTGGCCATGGATTTCTCAGGAAGGACGGGTCGTGTGATTGACAACCCTGTGGAGGCTCAGAGCGCTGCCATGGAAGAGGGACACACTTGGAGAGTGAGTAGTTCAATACATGTATACTTGGATAATGAATTAGGGGTTTTAAGGTCTTTTTTATGCATTTATAACTATTTTTAAAATCTCTGTACAGAAACGGGGTCAGAGAATGAATGTTTTGGGAAGCCCCAGTCCTCTACATCCTTCACCGTTAAGCTCAGGTGAGTGTCGCAGCATTTACTTACTGTTTAGCACCTTCAACACCAGTTGATTTAAGTGGTACTTCAATAGATATAACAATATTTCATGCCAGTAAATGTGGACTTTGCGTTTATGTCCCCAGTGATCCACAGGACGCAGTTATGGTTCCATGGCCGAATTATGAGAGAGGAGTCCCACAGGATGATTATGCAGCAGGGCCAAGTTGATGGGTATGACATTTTCCACATTTATAGTCAGTATTAATTGCTGTTTTATAAGGGGGTAGTGAAATTAATCAGTGTTTTGTCTCACAGGTTATTCCTATTGAGAGACAGCCAGAGCAACCCAAAAGCATTTGTTCTCACGCTGTGCCATCATCAGAAGATTAAACACTTCCAGATTTTACCTGTGAGTCCCTAATAAACACTCAATACAAACTGCCCTTTTGCATGTATTAATGTTCATACAAGTATAAAGAGCAGGGCAAACTGCTATATATATATTTTTCATATAGACATATTATATAGTCATGTTACCTTATACTTAAAAAAGGCGTAATTTACAGCTGTCAGTGATTGAGAGAGGTACATGAGAAAATTAAATGTTAAAATATTTTTTTGGATACATTTATTTTTAAATTAATTTGAAAAATAATTTTGTAATTTTTGTGAAAGCAAATGTTATTTGTATATAAATATTAATATTTAATATTATATAGATTTATTTAATATACTGTTATATGTTATAAATATATAAGTAAATAATGTAAAAATATATTAAATAACTATGAATGGAATTGTGCCTTAGTAATTCACAGTTTACCTCAGTCACCTTAACATTATGCCACATTTTTATTTGTAAGATTGTCTCTCTATAGGCTCTTGTTATCTTGATAGGAGAGTTCAGCGATTTAAAAATTGATTGACTGATTTAAAAATCTGTTTTATTTTCACCGCTTTCTCTCTGGCAGTTTGAGGAGGAAGGCCAGGTCTTTTTTAGCCTTGATGACGGCTCTACCAAGTTCACAGACCTGATCCATCTGGTAGAGTTCTACCAGCTCAACAGGGGCATCCTGCCCTGCAAACTCAAACACCCCTGCACCATGGTGGCCTTATGACCCCCTCCTGATCTTTACAAACAACACACACACACACACAAAAGTAACTGAGAAACTGGATGCTTTTTTCAATAATAATTTCCAGTCATTTTCACAATAAGCTGACGCAACCCACAGGCATGAAAAAGATCTCTGTTTTTCTCACTGCTCTGGGATTAGCATGGAAACGTTTGGGAATAATTATGGGACAAGATCAACTTCCCGGACACCCTGTCCTTTGGTTTTGACAAGGGTGGCGTTTTTTTAAAAAAAAATTTTAAACAGTCTCTGTGGTGATATTCATGAACTTTTAACTGAAATCAAGACTTTTTCATCATTCAGGACATGACACTAGACACCCCCCCCATGAACTGATTGGATCGGGACGGTCGTTTCGTGTGGTGTGTCTGCGGGGACTTGCATTGCAAAAAGTTACTTGATGACGATTGATATGTATTATGTTATTTCCTACCTGAACATTTTGCACTCTCAAGCTGACAACAGGTGATCCGCTTCATCCTGAGCTTACCGCAACAACTATTACCCATTTGCCTTCCTCCTACAGCTCACCCTTTCATTTTTTGTCCTCTTCTAAACTCTTCCTGGGGATTCCCTGTGTAATGATGGATTAGTGCAGCAGAGATGACAGTAGTGTCAATTTGAGGTGACAAATCCTCAGCCAAATAATGTAACCCGGTCTTTCATACATCGCTATGTCTATGTCAGCGAGGAGGGACTAGCCACAAGGGGTAGCAGACTTGCACTTCAATAAATTATACTTGATTGCTATGCTTTACCAGCATAATAATTAGTTACGTTTGGAGTTCTAATCAAGCTTTGCCTTAAAGGAATGTTCTGGGTTAAATATAACTTAAGCTCCATCAACATTCTCCATCGCATGCTGTTGATTACAACAGAAAATGTACTTTAAAAAACAAAAAGCATGTCGACGGTCACCTGCTTATAATGCAGCTCCATTTTTCTAAATGAACTTGCTTTGTAAGTGGATTTCAATCAACATATTCAGTATTCAATTTGTTTCCAAGCTGTCAGACAAGAATTTCTGTTATAAATTAAATTATGCCACAGAGTCGCACCATAGTTTAAAGGGACAGTTCACTCAAAAATGAAAATTGTCATCATTTGTCAAAGTGGTCATCCTGATGTTGTTCCAAACATGTATGACTCCCGTTTTTCAGTGAGACACAAAATAAAATATTTTGATGAATGTTTTTGCTCTTACAGTGAAAGTCAGTGGGGCCCAAAACAGCATTTGGACACTACTGATTACAAAAAGACATTTTTCGAAATAGTCCAAATTCATAATAATATTTTATGTTTAGTTTAGGTATTATAAATATTCTAATATTTTCTTTTGTGTTCCACAGGGGGAAAAAAGTAAGAATTTTTATTTTTGAGTAAATTGTCCCTTTAACTCAAAATGTAGTAGTTTAGGGCGCAAAGGTTTTAAGAATTATCCATATCATTTTAATCCAGATCACTTGTTCTCTTTAAGAAGACAATGGCCTGTTTAAGCCCACTGAATTTGCAATTTTTCCTGTCAAAATGCACGTATTTCGCTCCTGGCGTTGAAATGCCATATTGATTGTGTGCAGTTTATATTTGGAGCCATCAAAAACTTGACTCGGGCCTCAAAGGGCCACTGAAACTTGACCCAGGCCTCTTCGGTATGGTGTATCCCTACCAGAGCACAATTCAAGAGGGTTGTTATTCGTTTCCTACACTGACTCCAGGTCGTGTTACTTAGCTATTAGTATAGCCCGAAGCTTAACAACTGCCTTTTCAAATTACTGTGCTGTTCTTGAGCCATGTTAAACCCCTAAAAGTGACAGGCCAGGCCCGGACTGAGCACCTGCGGGGACGCTCGAGGACTTTGCAAAGTCCCGTCTCACGGGCGTGTCCGTAATCCTCCGGGGCTGCGTGACATAATGCAGTGAGGAGATTATCTCCCGTGCCAGTTTTGCAAAAGGAGGTTAGCGGCAAAAAGGCTGGTGTACGGTTACCTGCGGCGCTACTTCAGCAGTCTCCTGTCTGTCCCTGACGACTGCCTTGTTACCCTTCCAACACTGGCCCAGCAAGACTAAGCTATGGTTTTATATGCTAGCTCTGACAGCTGACTGTTATACTGCTGAGCTAGAACCACACGCGCCTAGGACGAGTGTGTACGATGCACACTGCGATTGTCAAACACTTTATACCACGAAAGCACCTTTAGATTTTCACATTGGATTCATGCTGCTTAACGTATGTGAAACGCTTTAAGAACGTGTTTCATCTCAGATGTTCGCTACGACCCTATCTTACGTTAACGCTTCTTTGCCGCTTCATACGTAAATCGACTTTGTAAATTGTTACGAAAAGTACAAGCTTGACGCATTCATTGTAAGGGATTGCGGTTGGCTTTTCATCACATGTTAGATTTAGTAATTTGGTCACAGTTCCAGCCTGCATGAGTTAGACAAGTACGCCTGAAAACAAAATATGTTCTAATTGGAATACGTTAGTGTGAACGCTGATTCGTTCCGTCCTACTCGAGCTCGAAGTGTTTGGATAATGCTTCTTTTTTATCAGACTTGTGCTGTGTGGCTCACAATTATGAAAAGCCAAACATGCATGTAAAATCAACTTCCCCGATCTTTAATATGCCGTGTTGGTGGATTTCTTTGAACACATGTGATTTGAGATTATTGCACATGTATGTTTGGCTCAAATGCAGCTTTGTCTATTAGAAACATGGCAACAGTCACGCTCTTCTAAGTATGCGAAGCCTAAGGAGAGGTAGTAGATCTAACACTGTATTAAAACACCATCTATGACTATATAAATGTGGTGCGCTCCAAAACAGAATGAAGATGTTGTGCATAAATTGCAAATTATGCATATTCCCTCTCGATTTGTACCAGTGTGAAATATTTGTAGCTTATATTGTGTTTTCATTTTTATGTCACAAATGTCTTTTTATAAAGAGTATATATCACAGTATTAAATGTAAAAAATGTCTTCTGTTGTCTTTATTTCTCTATTGGTTTGATGTTCAGAATGTTTAGATTAGGCCTATTAGATTATGTGATTGCCCAGTCTACTATTACATCCAATGGTTTTCTCATTCATAAGTGCTTTAAAAATACTTTTAAAAGATTGAAGCTTAACAGTTTAAGATAGATAGATACATGAATTATTGTATATTTCTCTTTATGTGGTTAATATAAATTAAATTAAATAAAATGATGCAAACGTGGACTCGTCCGGGATTTGAACCCAGGACCCTCTCGCACCCTAAGCGAGAATCATACCCTAGACCAACAAGCCTTAAAGGGGTCATATGATGCTATTTTAAAGATCATTATTTTGTGTATTTGGTGTAACAGAATATGTTGACATGCTTTAATGTTCAAAAAACACATTATTTTTCAAATACTGTACATTATTGTAGGTCCTCTATGCCCCACCTCTCTCAAACACGCCGTTTTCAACAAAGCCCCCTCCTTTGACAAGCACAGTCTGCTCTGATTGGCCAGCTGAACCAGTGCATTGTGATTGGCCGAACACAACAAGCACGCGTCGGAAATGTAACGCCTGGATTTGAGACTTTAGTCTTTGCAACTTTACAGATCTTCTTTATGCACCAAGAGCTTGTGACACTCCAAAGAGAAAGGAAAAATTTAAATCGCATCATATGACCCCTTTCAAAATTATAGGTAGGACTGTGGGCCACGTTGCACACGACCATCGATGAAGTGAGTTTGGGATGCTTATTTTAATGGCGCCATCTGGTGGCATAAACCTGTCACAGAGGTGCCCATAAATACAAATTACCTAGATTAATTTCAGCAAAGTAGCAATTAGTTTGCCACACTATAGCTGTGTTTAAAAGCCTGCAAAAAAATTAAAAACTTGATGTCTATGTCTTCTGAAAACTGAATGACATTAAAATATGACTATGAATATATACTTGGAGAAAATATCTTCTGGTAGCTGGTCTACCTTAGTCTTTTACAAAGGACTTAAGACATAGGCTAAGCAATGTTGCTGAATTAAAATATTATGTTCATAGCATAATCGATAGTTGTTAACGTGCACACCAACGTGGTACAGGTATACCAGGTGTGATTTGGAAAAAAACTAAATTCTTGATAAAACTTTGCTCAAGGTAAATACCAATTCTACTACTGCTAAAAAGTGAGTTAAAATGGACTAAGCTTTATGAGACAGAATACTTTAATAAATATGCTTAAAACGTGTGCTGTTTTGTGCTGAAATAGGACAACTGACGATTGTTGGTCTTGTTGTAGACCATACACTACTACAGGAATATTTCAGATTCTTCTTGATATTGGTGGTGCAGAAAGTTCACTTTGCACGGTCGCGTTACATTTATCCCGTAAATTGAGTTCAGCTGGTTCGTTGGTCTAGGGGTATGATTCTCGCTTTGGGTGTGAGAGGTCCGGGATTCAAATCCCGGACGAGCCCGCCTTTTTCATTGCCAAATACAGGGGAAAAGATCAGATCAAAGTTAAGATAGCCTGTGAAACATTGAGGTTTCCTCTTGACTGTTGCAGTAACTCGTAAAGCCTTTAAACCTGACCAGTGGCCAAGAAATAACATTACTTGTCTAAGATTTCCGATTCCCACTGCCAACTAAGATTTTATCAAAATTTGGAGTGTGGATACTACTGTATTCAAGGCAAAAATTATTTTTCAAACATTTGATTACTTGAGTGATCACGCCATCAAAGCAAAATAAAATATAGATATTTATTTAGAAATTGAATTAAGGAAAACAAATAACAACTACATGAACTATTTGCAACTTTTTGTACATATGTACAACTCAGTAACCCGTTAGCTATAAATAGTTACTGTAAAATTGTGCCAATTCCAGGATTGTAGAAACTTTAAAGGTTTTGGGCTCATCCCGGATTTGAACCTAGGACCTTTCGCACCCTAAGCGAGAACCATAACCCTAGACCAGGGATGGGCAACTTTGATAATGACGAGGGCCAACATTTTTTCTGCTTTATACCAAGGGGCCAGATTACTAATCCACGTCCACACACCTTTTACACCGTTTTACTAAATTTCCTTTTTATTGAAGGAAATGGAAGTATAACTAATGTCATTTGTTTTTAAAGATTTTATTAAGTATAAAACTTGTGCAGTTAGGCTAATTCAGAAGGAAAACTTTGTTGTCAGTGGACAGAAATATTACCCTGACTTATCCACAGTAATTTCACACTTGTCTAGCACAAATATGTCGCTTTGTTTCATGATTACAGTGTATACGTTTTTCTTTATTTACTCTCAAAAATTGGAAGTGAAATGTGACAACGCCCCGTAGGTGGAGTACATTGTAACATCTGAGGGGCACGTTGTAACATGACCATATGACAGCTTTCAATGTTATCTGATCGAATGAAAAAAGTATACAAGACAAACTAAAATATTTTGTCAATAAAATAAAATAATTATTTATTTCAAATAAAATAATGGCGTTTTTTAAGAATTAAAAATAATCTGATTTTGGAGTTTGACAATGAACACATTGCAACCATGCTTGGGACGGCCCACATAAACGAGCCAAATGCTTTACGTGTCTTGAAATAATAATTTCTTAACATTAAACATTGACTGTCAGTCTTTATTCACCTGTTTCTCGTCGTTTATCATTAAAATTTATTAAAGTAAATAGTGTGAATTACCCCCATCTGCGCAACTGGAGTTTAAAACTGGTTACTGTCTTCTGATAGTTAGCGAAGCATTAAAAAATTATCTAAACTGATAAATAACAGATTGGAGATTAAAATAATAGCGGCTTTGTCTCTTTTTAAATGAGTAATAAAAACTGAGATGAAAATTTTACTTAAGCCAGAAATATAATTTTACTATGGTAAAATAAATGTTCAGCGATATCTTCAAAAAACTTTTGAATTTTGGTGCACTTTTTTTCTCTATATAATGTTGATATGGTAACTAGTAAATGCTGTAAATTTGGTTATGCTAGCATGTGTGGAAATATTTAAACCACGTGTGTTACAATTTACCCCGCGTGCCCCGCGCTCCCCTACTCACCCTCATTGTTCCAAACCTATATATATAGAAATTCATATCATCAGCTGATTTAGAGAATATAAAATAAGCAATCCACAGATCCACTGCAGGTGGTGAGATCAGGATGTAGTTTAGACTTAATTTCCTGCAAATACTGTATATGCATTACTTAACCTATATGTTTCTTATATTTATGTTTTTGACCTGAGTACGTGCAGTAAAAATTATGTTAAATTTGACCTTTAACTAATATGTTTTGACTTTATATCTTAAAGTCAAGTCCTTTACTGTCATTATGTATGATCAGCTAAATGTGAAAAATGCTTAGTGCTTGTAGTGTAACAGTAATAAATATTGTGTGCTCAGCCTGACAGATGCCTTATAACTAAGTGTGAGACTTTTAAATGTGCTCATCAGTTTTATATTATTCTGTTTTCTGTCTCTCTCTTCAGGTTCTGTGGGGCACATTCTGACTCAATCTGAAGATCAAACAGTGAATCCTGATCAAACTGTTACTATTCACTGTAAACACACACCAGCATTAAAATGTGGGAATCCAAAAAATAGCTCTCAATATTGCATGTCCTGGCACCATCAGATTCCTGGAGAAGCTCCTAAACTCCTGACCTATTACACATCAGAGAGAGCTTCAGGTGTTTCTTCTAGATTCAATGGCAGTGAAAGTGGAAACCACATGGATTTTACTCTGACCATCAGTGGAGTCCAGCCTGAAGATTCAGGAGATTATTACTGTCAGAGTCAACACAATAAGACTGGAGACTCAAAGAACCCAGACTGGGTGTTCACACAGTGTAAAAGCATCGTACAAAAACCTCCTCGGGTGAGACTGCAGCGCTGCAGCTTTGAGCTTCTGCAGATGTTGATGTTGAAGATCATTATTCATCTCACTGACTCACTGTTGATAAAGAAAAGTTCATGGCCAAAGCCAATGAAATGAAAATAAATGTCACATTCTAGTTAATTTTCTAGTTAATAATAAATCTTTATGTACGATACAGAAGCATAATTAAACTTGTTTTTTATTTAGATCATTTCCCAAATGTATTCTTATGTAGAAATGACTTGTGTTGCATGTAATTAAATGAAAATACAAACGATACAATATTAATAATGATATAGATTTAGTTACATTTACATAAATTGTCTTCTTATAGATGCATATTTGATTGCTTCTCCATCATTTAGTTATTATAATGAAATATCATGGAATGTTGTCATTTATTTTGTGACCCTATTTTTCTCAAAACAAAATCTACAACATGAAAAGATTTTTAAAAATTTTTTCAGGTTCACATTTACAGTGTGATTCTTGACAGGAGTCTGTAGAGTGGAGAGTGTTTTGCATGTTTACTGCTTCACACACAAAATGATCGGAGTGTGTTCAGTCCTGCCGGAGTCACTGATACACCTCCTAAACTCCTGATCTACTATACAAGTAAGCTTGGCTCTGGAGTTTCAAACAGGTTCAGTGGAAATTATTCTCGATATGAATTTTTGCTGAATATACATGGAGTCCAGCTTGAGGATGAAGGAGATTATTACTATATGGGGTTTTATTCTAAAACAGTGTTCACACAGTGAAACAGCATCGTACAAAAACCTCCCTCTCAGTCTGACGACACAGTACAGGTGCATCTCAATAAATTAGAATGTCGTGGAAAAGTTAATTTATTTCAGTAATTCAACTCAAATTGTGAAACTTGTGTATTAAATAAATTCAATGCACACAGACTGAAGTAGTTTAAGTCTTTGGTTCTTTTAATTGTGATGATTTTGGCTCACATTTAACAAAAACCCACCAACTCACTATCTCAACAAATTAGAATACTCCATAAGACCAATAAAAAAAAACATTTTTAATGAATTGTTGGCCTTCTGGAAAGTATGTTAATTTACTGTACATGTACTCAATACTTGGTAAGGGTACTTAAAGCAAAAGGAGCCCCTACCAAGTATTGAGTACATGTACAGTATATGAACATACTTTCCAGAAGGCCAACTATTCACTAAAAATGTTTTTTTTATTGGTTTTATTTTATTGGTTTTTGTTAAATGTGAGCCAAAATCATCACAATTTAAAGAACCAAAGACTTAAACTACTTCAGTCTGTGTGCATTGAATTTATTTAATACACGAGTTTCACAATTTGAGTTGAATTACTGAAATAAATGAACTTTTCCACGACATTCTAATTTATTGAGATGCACCTGTACATGCACCCATGCAGTAACTATGAACTAATTTCTATTAAATGAGAAATTCATTTCTCAGTATGAACGTAATCAATCTACACTTTCTGTCTATGACTCTATAATGAAAATTTTTTTTCATTCTTCCTGTTCAAATGCATAAATCCTGACACCCATTTGAAGACTTCAGACTACTAGCCCTAATTTGAATGTAATCTAAGTTAAATAAGCTAGAAGTAATCAATAACGCCATCTTATAGTCACTGTGATTTCTCAAATAACTTATTTTAGTTTTTGACATAATATATATGTATATATGTTAAATAAATGTAGCCAAATGCTCGATGCAGCTCATCATGAATAAATAAATACAATCAAATAAAAGTGGTATTTCATGTGTGTTTTTTGTTTTAAAATGTTTAATATAGCAGTGAGAATTTAACACCATATTTAAGACAAAATGCTTTTAATTGGCAAGAATAAAATGCTCAACAAAACATTCATAGAATTGCAGTTGTAACAAATAATATATGAACAATATACTAACAGCATGACAGATTAATTGTTGAGCAGTGGCTGATTTAGGACAGTGTGTGTGTGTGTGTATATTTCATTCATCGCACTGCTGTGTGTTGAGGCTCTTGGTCACTGCACTGTGGGATGGGTGAGTGGCGTCACAGTTGACAGTTGTTGCTCTGCTCCACTCACTCTCAGTGAGGCTCAGGCTGCTGCTCCAGCTGTACAGTCCATCCTTCTGCAGCTGACTGGGACTCAGATCGACACCAGAGCTCCTGCTGCTGCCGTCCACCTTCCAGCTCAGCTTCCAGTCAGAGGGGAATCCCTTACTGGCCACACACAGCACTGTAGCCTTACCCTGCTGCAGCTCGTCTCTGGAGGGAGGCAGCACTGTGAGAGCGGGACGAGCCGCAGCTAAAGGCTGCAGCTCGTCTCTGGAGGGTGGCAGCACTGTGAGAGCGGGACGAGCCGCAGCTAAAGAGAGACAGAGATAGAAACTGTGATGTTTCATTCTTCTGAAAAACAGCTCTGTCAGTCTTTCTGAGAGTCTTTCACTTCCCTTTAAGAGATTCAAAGTTAATCATGCAAATCTGAGTGTAACAGTCCATAAAAACACATTTACTAACTCATAATATTTAGATTTTAGACAATCCGTATTTATTATAATATATGGTAACACTTTACAATAAGGTTTCATTTGTTAACTTTAACCTTAGAAACCTATAGTTAAGATGAGCTAATACTACAAAAGCATTTATTAATCTTAGTTAATGTTAATTTCAACATTTAATACAAAAAAAAAGTTTTATCTGTTCATATTGTTTAATGGACCTGAGCTAACATGAACTAACAATGAACAGTTATTTTTTATTAATTAACATTAATAAAGATTAATGATTGCCATATCAAATGTATTGCTCATTGTTAGTTGGCTAATGCATTAGGTTAGTGTAAATTAAAAAAAAGTCAAGATGTATAACTATATCAGACTAAAATGTACATACTGGTTTTAAATATCTAGCTTTCAGATTCTGATTTGTAATAATATACTCCGACTTTAAAAAGAAAATTATTTTGTATTTTATTCAATAAATATTTCACAGAAAAGTACGATTTTGTATTTTGTTTCAATATTAAAATATCAAAGTATAAAAGAAAAAAATATTTTCATAAAGACATTTAGATTTATAATATGATATATAACAATATATTTAGATTTTTATATTTGTTTAGTTTCCAATTATAGAGTAATGTAACTGACGTCTGAAACTGGAGTAAGATATATTTCTCATGCGAAACACATAAAAAAAACCAAGAATATATTAACAATTATAATTTACCAATTAGATAAATCAATTATTGATTGTGGTCATGTTACACAAAGTAAAATCTTCTGATTTTTTTTTTTAATCCTAGTTTGTTCTTGTATCTCTTGTTCTGTGGTTTTCTTTTTTATATAAATATTTTGTGAAATAGACAGAGATTTACTTACTTCTAACTGAGAGTAGAGTTCCTCCACAGTGATACAAACCCAATCAGTGGCTGTTCAAAAACCTCCTGCACTAAAACTGACACTGACATCAACACTCACAATAACACTGACATTGCCCTTAAGACTGACACTAAAACTAATAATGCATTTTAGCTTAATTCAGTCACATCAAAAATAGAAATACATTTTTAATGAATAAAATGCTGCAAAAGGTATTTTTATTGATTTTGAGGTAAATTCCAAGATGCATCTGAATGTGTTTTTGAGAGTGTTTTAGAGGCGGACAAAGTACTCAACTCCATTACTTGAGTGAAAGTACAGATACCGCTGGTCAAATATTACTCCATTACAAGTAAAAGTTGTAAAGACAGATTTTTACTTAAGTAAAAGTACAGAAGTACTTGCTTTTAAAAGTACTTAAGTACCAAAAGTAAATTTCCTTTTTTATGTCAATGCACATATTTTTTATTGTTGTACGTAATACTTGCAATACCTCTGAAGCAACTTACAATACATTACTTGCAATACTCCTGAAGTAACTTAGAATACATTACACCTACTGAATACACTGACTAGCTTGTAGTATCTTTGGAATAAAGAGCTTTTAGAATGTTAAAAACCTATGGGGGGAAAAAACAAAACATAAATAAATATATATAAATAAATATTTAACATCCCTACCCACCCCCAACAAAAGCAGGACGGTAGTGATCTAACACAGCTCTGACAGTGTGTGCACACATCTATGTGTAGCAATTCATCCACATTTGAACAGAGTGGACAGTGAAATCCTGTAAATACAGAGTGATAAGGAAGAAACAAAATCAAACCTGCTTTAAAAAACCCAGCAACACAACAGTAGCTGTATAATGCGCCGTGGAGCTGGTCGCAGGGCAGCCGCCCCGCCCGTCCAGGCCCCCTGCCAAACCTGGTGGCAAGCGAGAGAGCAAGAGGCCCGGAGACGGGCGACCCAGGGGTGGAGGGACGTGCTCTTCAGGAGATGGTAAGCACACCACTCCCTCCCCCGGAGGAGGGCCGGGCGGAGAATCTTTTCATCTTTTTCTGTCACTGACCTCTCGGTCGGTGGTACCCAAATTCTCGACAAGGAGCAATTCCTCTATTTCTGGGTCCCCAGAGGGGATGGGGGGTTGTGGACGATCCAGTGTGTATCACACTCACCCTCCTCTCTCGCCAGTGAGCAGCAGTGGGCGGATCGGGAGGACGAACCAACGGACTACCCACGCACCCTCTGCTCGAATGCAGGTCAGTGTTACACACACCCAGACGCCGCCTCGGACCGGCTACGAGACGCCCGGGCCGGGTCTCTGCGTTCTTCCATGCTGCCCCACTGTGGGTACGCCTGTAGTTCCGGTGATGTCACTTGCGCGGTGTCTGGGAGCCTGGCTAGAGCTACCCAACCCGTCTCGATGGCTCCGTCGAACCGTCATTAGGAAATTATAGGTTGATAAGAACGCTGGATCTTTCTGCATGTTAAATCCCAAGTAGGAGACAAAAAGTGCCTGTCTTTATGAAGGAATCATTAAATCAAAAATATCTGGCTTAGCCAGATTATCAAGTGAAATATGTTCCTTGACAGTTAGAGCGGTTGTTGTTCTCAGAAAAAACATTTACATTGTAAATTCACTTTGCATTGAACTGCATGCTTCAGTGATCTGGAGGTTTTTATATCGGTGACTTTATGATTTTATGACTGACAGCTCTCCTTCATGATAACAGATCCTAAAGCAACCATGTCTTTAATAGCCATCATTATTTGGATGCTCGCAACCTGCACCTGGAGTAAGTATATAGAAATTCATATCATCAGCTGATTTACAGAAAACTACAAATTTAGCGATCCACAGATCCACAGATGCTGAAATCAAGATGTAGTTTAGACTTAATTTCCTGCAAATACTGTGCATTAATTAACTTATATATATTCTTTTTTTTTTTACGATTTTACCTGAGCATGTGCAGTAAAACATACATTAACATTGAACTTTAACTAATATGTTTGGATCTTTAAGTCAAGTTCTTTATTGTCATTATGTATGATCAGCTAAACATGAAAAATGCTTAGTCCTTGTAGTGCAACAGTAAGAAATATTGTGTGCTCAGCCTGACAGATGCCTTATAACTAAGTGTGAGACTTTCAAATGTGCTCTTCAGTTTTATATTATTCTGTTTTCTGTCTCTCTCTTCAGGTTCTGTGGGGCAGATTCTGACTCAATCTGAAGATCAAACAGTGAATCCTGATCAGACTGTCACTATTCACTGTAAACACACACCAGCAGTGGACTGTTATAAAAAAGATACTTCGCAGTATTGTATGTCCTGGTACCATCAGATTCCTGGAGAAGCTCCTAAACTCCTGGTCTATTACACATCAGAGAGAGCTTCAGGTGTTTCTTCTAGATTCAATGGCAGTGAAAGTGGAAACCACATGGATTTTACGCTGACCATCAGTGGAGTCCAGCCTGAAGATTCAGGAGTTTATTACTGTCAGAGTCAACACAATACGGCAAAAGACCCAAAGAACCCAGTCTGGGTGTTCACACAGTGTAAAAGCATCGTACAAAAACCTCCTTATGTGAGACTGCAGCGCTGCAGCTTTGAGCTTCTGCAGATGTTGATGTTGAAGATCATTATTCACCTCAATGACTTTACACACACATACACAGAGACTTTTTAAGGCTGCTGAACTGTTGATGTTCATTATTATAACACACTCCACATATTTTATTAATAATAAACACCAGAATGTCTCAATCAGGTTTCCACATGAACTACAATCCAATAAAATCCATCCAACCTTGATGAAAGCAAACTAACCATGGCCAAAGCAACTTCTCAAATACACGCTGACGCTTTAACTAACAATATAAATAGCCCGGTTCAAGTGTGAAATAAGCCAGAATCCATATTTTGTTTTATTCTGTATTTGTTAAAAACCACAACAGGTTTTCCCTGCTATATTTGAAAATTTAAAATATATTAAAATAAAAAATTTATTAAATTCAAATACACTCTCAGTGAGGCTCAGGCTGCTGCTCCAGCTGTCCATCCTTCTGCAGCTGACTGGGACTCAGATCGACACCAGAGCTCCTGCTGCTGCCGTCCATCTTCCAGCTCAGCTTCCAGTCAGAGGGGAATCCCTTACTGGCCACACACAGCACTGTAGCCTTACCCTGCTGCAGCTCGTCTCTGGAGGGCGGCAGCACTGTGAGAGCGGGACGAGCCGCAGCTAAAGAGAGACAGAGATGGAAACTGTGATGTTTCGTTCTTCTGAAAAACAGCTCTGTCAGTCATTCGGAGTGTCTTTCACTTCCCTTTAAGAGATTCAAAGTTAATCAAGTATATCTGAAGTGCAGCAGCCCGTAAAAACACATTTTACCAGCCATCACACATATTTCTGTATTTAGATTTAAAACAATTTATTCACTATACATATATAATATATATTTTGAAAACAGATAAATGTAACACTTACATTTGGTCTCTCTCTCAGTGTCTCATCAAAAGGTCCAGTCTCCTGAGTCTCTGTCTGTTAAAGCAGGAGATTCTGCTTCTATCAGCTGCACTGCATCTTCTGTAATTGGTTATTCCATGAGCTGGTATCTGCTACAACCTGGAGAAGCTCCTAAACTCCTGATTTACTACAAGTAACCTTGCACCTGGAATTTCAGACCGGTTCAGTGGAAATTATTCTGGATATGAATTTATGCTGAACATATAGAGTCCAGTTTGAGGATGAAGGAGATTATTACTATATGGGGTTTTATTCTAAAACAGTGTTCACACAGTGAAACAGCATCGTACAAAATCTTTCCTCAGTCTGACTACACAGTGAATGTACTCAGTAACTATGTACTAATTTCTATTAAATGAGAAATTTATATCTCAGTATGAACAGAATATTTAATCAATCTACACTTTCTGTCTATGATTTTGTGATGAAGATATTTTTTTTTCATCCTGTTTAAATGCATAAATCCTGACACCCATTTGTAGATTTCAGACTATTAGACCCAATTTTAACGTAATGAAGTAAAATAAGATCAAAATTATTAATAAAGCCTTATTATTGTCAATGTGATGTTGAACTAATAAATAATATTTTTTTCCTTAATTAAATGCAGCTAAAATATTTTATTAAATTAAAATATAATATAATGATTAAGATGCCATGTTAAAATAAATATCTCTTTTGCTGTAACTGATATTTTCAATATTAAAATATTCTCTACAAATCTAGGCTGCTCATCACAATATCACACGTCCTAAAAAAATTAAAAACCAATAAAAGTGGTACAGTATTTAATATTTTAGTAATAAATAAGCACCATATTTAAGACAAAATGCTTTTATTTGGCAGCAAGAATAAAATGATCAACAAAACATTCATAGCATTGCAGTTGTAGAAGTATAACACTTAAGAATATATGAGCAATATACTAACAGCATGAAAGATTAATTGTTGAGCAGTGGCTGATTTAGGACAGTGTGTGTGTGTGTGTGTGTTTCATTCATCGCACTGCTGTGTGTTGAGGCTCTTGGTCACTGCACTGTGGGATGGGTGAGTGGCGTCACAGCTGACGGTTGTTGCTCTGCTCCACTCACTCTCAGTGAGGCTCAGGCTGCTGCTCCAGCTGTACAGTCCATCCTTCTGCAGCTGACTGGGACTCAGATCGACACCAGAGCTCCTGCTGCTGCCGTCCACCTTCCAGCTCAGCTTCCAGTCAGAGGGGAATCCCTTACTGGCCACACACAGCACTGTAGCCTTACCCTGCTGCAGCTCGTCTCTGGAGGGCGGCAGCACTGTGAGAGCGGGACGAGCCGCAGCTAAAGAGAGACAGAGATGGAAACTGTGATGTTTCATTCTTCTGAAAAACAGCTCTGTCAGTCATTCTGAGAGTCTTTCACTTCCTTTTAAGAGATTCAGAGTTAATCAAGCAGATCTGAAGTGCAACAGCCTGTAAACACACATTTTATCAGCAAACACACGAATATCTTTAAATTTAAATTTAAAACAATTGATTCATTATAGGTAATATTATATGGTTTCTGTCAACATATATTCAAATTACTGTTAAAATATTTGTTAAAAGCCTACAGTATTACTTACAGTTATAGCTGCTTGAAGTTTGAAAACTACACCAGAAGAAAACACATTTCTGTCTCATGTGACATTCAATTAAAAAAGTAATTAATCTTAATTAAAACCTAATTAATCAACACTGTAAAATAATGCTGCAATTGGTTATATAAACTTAATGTTTTTTGAGATAACTTAAATATCCAATTTAAGCAAACTAAAATGAAGTTAACTTATAATTTTAAGTCAAGCATGAACACTTAAAACTTTAAACACTTTAACACTTTAAAACTTGAAATAACACATTCCCCCGGTTTCACAGACAAGGCTTAAGCCTAGTCCCAGACTAAAATACATGTCTGAGCTGTTTTATCTGAAAGAAACTCACACTGACATTTCTTAAAATATGTAAGTGTCATTGATTTGTCTCAAGATGCACACCAGTAATGTTTATTTCTAAGGCACACTTATAAAAACTGCCAAAATGTCCCAATTTAACCATGGCTTAACCCAGGCTTAATCTAAGCCCTGTCTGTGAAACCAGACCATTATTTATTTTGATGTTGAATTTTAAGTTGTGAAGCAGATCTGAATTTCAACAGCCTGTAAAAACACATAAGTATCAGTATTCATATTAATATATTCAGAGTTTATAAAAATCAAGAATTATAACGAGAGAGAGTTAAACTTATACATTTTGTAATGGGTTGCAGTATAAAGCGCACAACAAAGGAGTAGAATTCAGCAAACAAACAGTCTTTAATAATAAAATCCAGGAGAAACTCAAGAACAGAAATTCAAACACGATACTGGACTAACAACACAAGAAAACGCAGGGCTTAAATAACCAGGTGAAACGAGGGAGAACAGAAACAGGTGGAACTAATCAATTAACTAGACAAAATGAAAACTAGGTCAAATGAACGAAACAATGGAACTGAAAACAGACCAGATACGTGACAATATTGGATTTATATCTTCCTTTCAGGTTTATATTTTGAACAATATATTAAGGCTTTAAAAAGAATTTTTTTTATTTTATTTTATAAGTATTTCACCTAAAATTGGGGTGTTTTGTTGTTGCTATACATTAAATAATGTCATTTTTTTCTCCTAATGAAAAATGTAAAAATGAAAGAAATTTATTTTCTGTTCATAATTACACATTCAGATTCATAGTGAAATCATGTAACAGTAAAGTAAAGATTTTTATATGTGTTCAATTCCCCATTATACAGTACTTATTTATAGTAACTGACATCTGAAACAGGAGTTTCTATATTACTCATCTCATGACAAGTACACACAAATAATCTATAAAATGCATTTTTTTAAACAATTTTTCCACTCAGATAGATAAACTGATCATTAAGGTTAACTAATTATTTTAAACCAGTTTAGAAGTATATATGCTTGTAGTCATGCCACACAAAATTAAAAATAAAAAAAACTTTAGTTACTCTTCTTCTATTGGTCGGTTTTTCTGCTCACGCCAAGTACATAAAAATTATCTATAAAAATTTTTTTTAAAAAACAATTTACCACTTAATTAATGGTAAATTAATGGTCATTAAGTTAAACTAATTATTTTTAACACTTTTAGAAGACCTATGTATGCTTGTAGTCATGTCACTTAAGGCAATATAAATACACACACACACACATATATATATATATATATATATATAAATGTTCTTCTTATTAGAAATAGAAATAGAATGAGATTTACTTACTTCCAATTGAGAGTCGGGTGCCTCCACCGAATGTGCGCCACAGTGATACAAACCCAGTCACTGGCTGTACAAAAACCTCCTGCACTAAAACTGACACTGACATCAACTCTAGCAATAACACTGACACTCTAAGATTGTATCTTAGTTTAGTTTTGCTTAGACAAGTCAAAATTATTAATTCACTATGTTTATTTTACTAATGTTAATTAAATGCTGCATGTATGCATTTAGATTTTTTTGAGGTAAATTCCAGGATGCATCTGAATGTGTTTTTGAAAGTGTTTTGCATATTAACTGAACACTGCGCTTAAAACTCCGCTGATTATTAGTGTGTGACACTGACATACACAGATAAGAAACAATGATTTCTCTTATACTAATGCTGGGGACACTGGGTCTGCTTGCTCAAGGTTCAAAAATATATTTTCTACATTATGAAATTAATCATTTGGAATTAATTTGATATTATTTTAATTTGAGCTTTTAGTCTTATTATATTTAGTTATTGGAGTGTTATTGGAGATGAAAACTTGTCTTGTATTTTGAAGTAATTGTAATGTTTGTTTTTGATCTCTCTCTCAGTGTCTCATGAAGAGGTTCAGTCTCCTGAGTCTCTGTCTGTTAAAGCAGGAGATTCTGCTTCTATCAGCTGCACTGGGACCAGTGGAGTTGATGATGACATGAGCTGGTATCTGCTGAAACCTGGAGAAGCTCCTAAACTCCTGCTCTATAAAGCAAATCGACTTCATTCTGGAGTCCCAGATCGGTTCAGTGGAAGTCAGAATGGACTTCATTTTACACTGAATCTAAGTGGAGTCCAAACTGAGGATGCAGGAGATTATTACTGTATGGGGGCTTACAGTGGTGGAGTGTGCACACAGTGAAAGAGCTTCATACAAAAACCTCCCTCAGCTTGACAGCACAAAGAATATGAGAATACTGAGAAGTTTACAATATCAGTCAGTTAAGATATAATCAGATAAGTTGTGCTTAATTATTTGCAAATATAGATAGTTTCAAATATAGATAGTACACAACAAGATAATACACAATGAATTAATTAGACTTTAGTTCAATATGAATGAAATATGAAATTCATGTGTCTGTTTCAGTAAGCACATACGCTTTCATTCATCCTTGTAGCTGCCCTAATTTGTAGCAGTTTGAACAACAGCAGTAACAATCTGTCCATGACATTTTCCATATAATTTAGATTTGAAATGAATTCAGCTGAAATGTATAGCCTATACAGTGAGTGCATTTTAGCCTTGGGCAAGTTAAGCTTAAATTCAGATGGTAGGATCCTAAAATCTTCAAAAAGCAGCAGCAAAGGCTGATGTGAGCATTATTATATGCAGCATGAAGACAACAAATCATATTCTCACATTATACTTTTTATGAATATGTGAACTCCTGCCATCAAAAACATAAATACTCTCCTTTTAATTACATTTTAAAATGTAGTGTTAAAATATAAGCATTCCTATCACATTTAAATCATAATATTAGTCATCATAATCATCTGCTCTTGCATCAACATCATTTGTTGGTCCCGGAACAATACGTCAAAGAAACATATTCTAACCCTAGTCATAAATTACAACATAAATCAGAGGACAATTAGGCTATTGCCACGTTTATAGTGTTTTCTGTGTTTCCCTGTTCGCCCGCCTTGTTGTGGTCATTGACCCAGTTTCTGTTCACCCTTGATTGCCTAATTCAGTTCACCTGTGTTTAGTTAATTAAGTCTTTAGTGTTAAGTCTTTTTATTGATCAATAACTGAGATTGTTAGAATTTTAAAAGTGTCCAAAAAAAAAAACAGTAAGGGAGGTAAGAGGTTCTTGTTCTCAAAAAGAACTTATAGAGCTATGATTTTATGACTGACAGCTCTCCTTCTTCCTCCTAAAGCAAACATGACTTTAATATCTGTCATTCTAATAATGACAACCTGCATCTGCAGTAAGTACATAGATATTCATATCATCAGTTGATCTAGAAATTAAAGGGGTCATATGATGTTGCTAAAAAGAACATTATTTTGTGTATTTGGTGTAATGAAATGTGTTTGTGGTTTAAGGTTAAAAAAAAACATTATTTTCCACATACTGTACATTATTGTTTCTCCTCTATGCCCCGCCTTTCTGAAACGCGTCGATTTTTACAAAGCTCATCGGTCTGAAAAGCGAGGTGTGCTCTGATTGGCCAGCTATCCAGTGCGTTATGATTGGCTGAATACCTCAAGTGTGTGACAGAAATGCCACAGGTGCTGAGATCAGGTTTATACTTTATTTCATGTAAATGCACTCATAAACTTATCTTCATGTTTTTGACCTGAACATGTAATTGTTAAAATTTAGCTTGGTTTTGATCTTCATGTCAGAGTCTATTGTCATTTATTGGTAGTGTTCAGTGTGCAAAATGTGCAACACCATACTTGTAATGCACCATACTCTTGCTTTTATTGCAAGAACAGGACATTGGTTCTCAGTCTGGCAGATATATTATAACGAAGTGTTAGACTTTTACAACCTTTAAGTGTTAGTGCTAATTTTATTGTTGGTTACGGTGTTTTCTGTCTCTCTCTTCAGGTTCTGTGGGACAGACTTTGACTCAATCTGAAGATCAAACAGTGAAGCCTGATCAGACTGTTCACTGTAATCATACACCAGCAGTGAAGTGTTGGAAATCTGAGTGTCAATCTGAGCTGGCAATTAGAATTGGAGAAACCATTGTTTCTTAAGTGTGTGTGGTGTCACACTAATAATCATCAGTGGAGTTTTAAGCTCAAGAAACATTTCAGATTATTATCAATATTGAAAACTAATAAACTGCTTAATATTTTTGTGGAAACTAGCATCATTGTGGACAGAAGCCTGCTTTGCATTGAACTGCATGCTTCAGTGCTCTGGAGGTCTTTATAGATCTGTGACTTTGCGATTTTATGACTGACGGCTCTCTTTCATGAACCGATCCAAAAGCAACCATGTCTTTAATAGCCATCCTTATTTGGACACTCACAACCTGCACCTGGAGTAAGTATATAGAAATTCATATCATCAGCTGATTTAGAGAAAACTAAAAATTTTGCAATCCACAGGTGCTGAGATCAAGATGTAGTTTAGACTTAATTTCATGTAAATTCTGTGTATACATTTATAAACACACATTCATTCTTATATGCATGTTTTTGCCTGAATAAGCAGTACACATTATATATATTATTATTGAACTTTAACTTATATGCTTTGATATGAATTGTGTTTTTCGTCTCTTCAGGTTCTGTGGGGCAGATTCTGACTCAATCTGAAGATCAAACAGTGAATCCTGATCAGACTGTCATTATTCACTGCAATCATAAACCAGCAATAAACGATTAAACCAAATACCTCTCTGTATCGCATGTCCTGGTACCATCAGATTCCTGGAGATGTTCCTAAACTCCTGGTCTAGGCCTACTACACATCAGACAGCACTTGAAATATTGTAATAAACCTCTTTTTTAACTTAAAGCGGTTCAATCAAATTAATGGAGGCCAGAGGGTACATCACAACACCAGAATTTTATAGAAAATTATCACTTTATTTGACAATTGTACATAGAAAAATATAACCGTTATGTAAAGAGACATTTAAATAAGTTCAACGAACATTTCACTCACTCCACCCACACTAGGACAAACGGCACTACGCAAGTGAAACTTCAACACTGCACTCTAGTGGTTATTCCCAGCCCCGCACGGCACACTAGAAATCGTGGTCACACAATCAGTTTAACAGGTGAAAAGATCAGCGCCTCCCCAGTCCCGTACACGGAGACGGAGTAATCATGTTCATATAAACTTTAAAACTCACAACTACCATACACACTCACACATACACACAACACATAAAGAGACTTAAAATGTAAAACACTTCCCCGTTTCCCGGACACAAGACCCCACCCCGGGGTCTGGGGAAAAGCTCTCCTACTCCCCAGCATTATCTAACTACACAAATTCAATCTATCTAGCTATCTTCGTTGCCGGACAAACCCTAATGGTCTCGAGCAAAACCAAGCGTCCCCATCTTCCCCTGAGCGCGAAAAGCCCGTCCCGTTCACTCAGCCGAAAGCCTCTCCTCTCACCTGTTCTCCTCCTTAAATGTCCTCCAGGTGAGTTCAATTATCCATACATTCAGTCAATCAGAAGAGAACATGCTGCAAAAAGGTTCCTATAGGCGGGGCCAAAGCCCAACTAAGAAAAGAAATCCCCCAGCATTCATCACAATATTAAGGAATGTGCCATTTATTTCACAACCCTATTTTTCTCAAAACAAAATCTATAATATGAAAAGATTTTCTAGAATACTATTTTTTTTCAACTGGTTTACATTTATAATGTGATTAATTCAGCATTTCTTCAACTTCTGAATTCATTCTGTACTCTTCCTGACAGGAGTCTCTAGAGTGGAGAGTGTTTTTCAAGTTTACTGCTTCACACTCACAAAACTCGGTGTGTGTTCAGTCCTGCCAGAGTCATTGACACACAATAAAATCAGTTTTACTAATTGTGGCTACACTCCCAGACAGCAGCTGACTCCGCGGCAGATCCGTTTTCAAACCGGCAAATCCGCGTTACAGTCACATCCGTTTCAGTGCTGTAACACGGATCCAGCCCGGGCGCGGTTCCAGTGGGCGGGAACTACAGGCGCAGAGCGGATCCGGGCCGCGTCCGTGGAAACGAGCGCACGTTTTTTTCTGGAGTTCAGAACAGAAGACGTCACGATCGAGGCAGAAACAGACTGTAGGCTACGCTGTTATGCTCAAAAACCTCACCAAGGTATGTTACACCGTGTGAGCAAACTGTTCTACTAATAAATTAATTTCTTATTATGTTGTGTACTCGATAACTTAAAGGTTTGGTGTTTTTATTGCTCCTTAGATCGGTGTCGGACTGTAATGTTGGCGAACACTTAGGCCTATGTTATCAGAGGACTGATAACATGAAGAAAACGTCCAGAGGTCTGTAATTATACGTAATTAACGGATTTTAACTTAATTACTTAATTTAAACTTTTCAGTGCTGTAACACGGATCCAGCCCGGGCGCGGTTCCAGTGGGCGGGAACTACAGGCGCAGAGCGGATCCGGGCCGCGTCCGTGGAAACGAGCGCACGTTTTTTTCTGGAGTTCAGAACAGAAGACGTCACGATCGAGGCAGAAACAGACTGTAGGCTACGCTGTTATGCTCAAAAACCTCACCAAGGTATGTTACACCGTGTGAGCAAACTGTTCTACTAATAAATTAATTTCTTATTATGTTGTGTACTCGATAACTTAAAGGTTTGGTGTTTTTATTGCTCCTTAGATCGGTGTCGGACTGTAATGTTGGCGAACACTTAGGCCTATGTTATCAGAGGACTGATAACATGAAGAAAACGTCCAGAGGTCTGTAATTATACGTAATTAATTAACAAATTCTTAATTACTTAATTTAAACTTTAGTAATTTTAACTGCTTCTATTAATTTTTATTGTTTAAGATTGCTGCGTGGTAGTTAGTGATGAGCTAGCAATGTTAACGTTTAAGTGCTAACCCTTAAGGCTGCATGCATTTATTTGATCAAAAATAAAGTTAAAAAAAAAGTAATATTGTGAAATATTATTACAATGTTAAATTACTATTTGAATATATTTTAAAATGTAGTTTATTCCTGTAAATTTTCAGCATCATTACTGCAGTCTTCAGTGCATGATCCTTCAGAAATCATTCTAACATGCTGATTAAGTGCTGGATTTTTTATTGGTACTCCGTTATCAATAATGGTTCTTATTATTATCAGTCGTAAAATAAAAAGGCCGTTTTTGCTGCTTAATATTTCCTGGAAACATTTTTATGATTATTTGATGAATAGAAAGTTTAAAAGAACA